CCTTTCACATACATTCTATTTTGAAACTCGCCCCAGTCCTCTCTCAAAAATCGGAGAAAATGCGTTTGGTGCGCACTTTCTGCAGCTCTACCGCAAAAACGAGTACGGTGACCCCCATTTTTTATTTCATGATTTTAATAAGGACAGTGCTTCCTTTCGATGAGAAAAAAATTGGCACAAATCTATGTTCAGTTTTTTGGCAATTTTACTAAATTGTACGGATTGAGCCATCACGGGTCGAAAAGCGCGCGTCCAATTTAATTCTACTTTGGAGCGTAAAGTAAAAACAAGGGTATTGAGGGCATTTTTCTGGTACGTAAGTGGATAAACAATACATTAAAGTCAAATTCTGTGTGATGTCACATGCATCATCGAAAAAATCTCTCCTTTTTGTCTAGTTTTGCGCTGCCCGCGGTTTTTGTAAAAGGGTCCTAAATATCCGTATTTGTCAGCATTGTGACGTCAAAACGAGCACGGTGACCCCCACTTTTTATTACTTTTTTATCATCTTCTTGACTTGTTACATCAGTGTACCAAGTTTTAGCTAAAATCTATGTTAGGTTCTTTTACTATGGAATCACCTTAAATGAACGCTAGGGTGGAAAAACGTCGTGCCAGAGAACATTCTAGAAATCAATCGATACCTCACTTTGACGTCATACTGCAACACGATTGGCCAATCGAACAATGCCTTCTCCATGTTAGAGTTTTCTTTGGGGGGAAAACGAGGAGTCCATTTTCTGATCTTTTCATCTGTTGACTGATAAAACAAATAAGAAACACAAACCGAAAACATATTTTAAGGTCATACAAAAATCGCTCTATCACTTGAATGCTTTCAATTACGCACGTAGACCTAAAGGTCTAGTATTAATTACAGCTAGCCAATGAATTGTTGGCTCGTTTGAATAAGCGCACTCGCAACAGTCATTCAATGTGACATAAATTATTGTCCTGGATATTTTAAAAGCCATTCATATCGTACGTAATACGACAGAAATGTGCTTAAAATGGGTATTCAAGATATATATGAAAATATATTAGTGTTATTGTTGCAAATAGCACAGAAATGTCATAAAGCTACTCACTAGTTTCAGTTTTAACTGTATATTTTTAATGAAAATTATCTATAGTGGAGCCTATGTTAAGCAAACTAACTACTTAAAATATTTGAGGTCTTTGAGGAGAAAAGTGTGGGACTTACTGACGTCCTTGTTCACTAAATAAAGCGTGCCCACTGTATGCTGGTTTTTACTGTTTTACTCGCGGATGCGTGGTGAAACTCGTCGTGTTCGAGCCTTTATCATACTGCAGTGTTGTTTCCTTAGACAAGGAACGTTGCTTAATGCTGTTTATCATTGATTGCCGTGGTGAAGTTAGCCCAAGGGGGGAGGGGAAGGGGAACTTTGCGCGCGCGAGGAGGTTCCCTTTTACCCCCTCCCCGGGCGCCCCTTGCGCTGTCGTGCTTAGCCTGCGTAAGATGGCGGTTTTGGTTGGGCGCACAAACTAATTAATAAAGGCGGGTGAGGGCAGAGAAACCGTGAACGCAGGCTATATCGTGCTTTTTCTATTCAGCGGTCTGACAGCGAGCTCAAAACTAGAATACAATTGAAGATTTTCGTGAAAAAAAAAAGAGAAACATGGGGATGTGGATATCATATTTTATGATAAGACGTATGGATAAATATGTAAAATAAAATTTGACAGAATCGCAGTTCGGCAGTCGTTGATTCTGTTATAACATCTCAACATCTTTTGAAGAGCTGTAAGTTTTCCGACGTGGCCAACCTCGTCCCAGGGCTTTTCCAAGGAAAATGGGAGGGAAAAATCCTGGAAACGAGGCTGAGCCCTGATAATTTATGCCCTGGAAGTCAATTTCACATCTGGGCTACGGGTGGGAAGTACTGTGGCCGCATCGAGGAGGCCGGTAAGTTCCGAAGGTGGGGTCGAAACTTTGTGTTTGCTAAAAAATTCTGATGATAACATTTGAGACCGAAGTTTTCTTAAATTCTTGTTTCAGACTTCTTTCCTTTCTGTGTAGCTTTTAGTATCTGAATACCCGCAAAACGGAGAACTAATAGAGAAAGGCGGAGGGGAGAGGGGTGGGGGGTGGGTAAATGAGCGCACAGTAGGCCAGTACTGTTATGAGTTACCGGCGTAAAATGAGAACCCTTACATTTTTAAGGCATTTTATTTTTCACTGTCCAAGAAGAATGTCCCAGCCATCTCTTCGGCACTGTGCAGTGAAAAACTAAACCAGCAAAAAGTTTGATTTATTAACCGAAACGGTTCTTCAATATTGACATTAAAAGTCCCATCGCGGCGCGACACTATGTAACTGACTTTAAATTGTTGGAGGTATGAACCTATAACAACAACATGCGCTAACTTTTCAACAATGGAATAAAGTGAAATTAAAAAAAACTCCAATTATGTAAATGGCCGTGCAAAGCTATTGTAAAAGCTTTGGGGTGTCGTGGTATTTTATAGGAAACACCTGTTCGTTTTTCAAGACTGAGTATCTTTTCCCCAAAATGAATTTGGCTGTTTACAAAAGGAATTCTTGGCGAGAGACATTGAAAATATCTCAAAAAGAGGAAGGTTGTATATAATATGAAGTAGATGTTAACATTTTGTGATAAGCACGGTCACAAGGCAGTTGAAGAAGCAGTACATGACAACGCTGGAGTTAAACTGTGACAATGAAAAAAGACGGTAACCAGTAGATAAGTACCGCAAGGGCAATAGTTTAGTCTACCATACATGAAATAAAGGGTTTTAAAATTCAGATTTCCTCTCTAAAAGAACTTTATTATTAAAATAATTCTGATGATTTGTTTAAATCTTTTATCAGTATATTGTAAAAGGGCTGTAAAGTAATAAAAATAAGACGGTTGAATCTGCGCTACGATTGGTTACTGAACTTGATTTATAACGTTTTGAGATGAATTATTTAGTGCTATAAAGCTAATAGGCGGTTGTTTCTAACAATGAAATTACCGGCTCTAAGCTGTGCCAACATGGATAAAGTGGATCCAGAGAACTGCACAAAGCCGTCCAAGTTTGCAGCTATAAGGACAAAGTGGAACAAATACGCCAATAACGCAACTCTACATGGTCTGTCACATATTGTCTCCAGCAGAACGGTTCTGCGACGAGTCTTATGGTGTATATTTCTTTTAACGGGAATTGGGTACGTGTCTTATCAATGGACGTGGCTTGTCAGGAAATATCTTAGCTACCCAGTGAACTCAAAAGTAACCGTGGAATTCGAGTCAACCCTTGAATTTCCAGCCATAACAATCTGCAACTTTAACATGCTGAGACAGTCATTCGTCGATCAAGAGAATTTAGGAAATGTTGGCAAGTACGTGTTAAATAACAAACTTCCCTGGTGGGAAGAAAAGACAGGCGAAATCGATTGGAAACGCTTTGAAAATGTCAGCACTTCGGCTACTTATTCCATGGCAGGACATCAAATTAAGGATATGGTTATGGAATGCTACTGGATTGGTGAAATGTGTAGCTTTCGCAATTTTACACCTGTTTTGACCTCTATGGGGCTTTGCCACACGTTTAATTCAGGTCAGTATGTTTGGTTTTGAAAACGCAGGTCGTATTTAAATAATTGTAGTTTACACGTGAATGTAAAGGCAGCATATATTTTAAAGAAAGGAATCTGATACACGAAAAAAGATTGTTATTGTTTCCGAAAATCTAGCTAAGCTTACGTTGCGCCAAAATAACATTTTATCCTCTTAAAGACAAAATTAAAAAAAATTTGTTTTTTCTATTTTAATGAAAACTTATCCAACACAATGTTTTAGAGGAAACAAATATCGCGTTTCCACTCTTTAAATTACCGCGGTTTTTTATACCCACACGATACCACTTGGTGCTTGTATTCACCTTACAGTTGTGCAAATAGTTGTTTTGGTTTGTTCACGTTGTTAAAAAGTTAAAGATAGCACTCCTGTCAGTACCATGGCTTCAGAGGTTCGCTCTATAGGTATCTTGGTTTGAAAGAGCTTTTGAGAAAGGAGTTAAATTTGTTCCTCTTCTCGTTTTTGCTCAGTTAAGAATCCCTTCCCCTCCCTCCCCAAACACCTGCACGATGCTTTGTTGACGGACTCCATATATTCAGCGAGGATGTTAACGAGGGGTGTATAAAGGCGGTTCTTTTTCGAACGGGAGGGGGTGCTTATTTAATATTTTCACCATAAGGTCGATCTTATTTATTTCAAAGAAGAGCGCATATTTGAAAGGGGCCGCTCATTTGAGCGTTACGGTATTAATTTTTACCTAGTTTTATTAGCCTGCAAAAACAGCTGTTTTCCCTCCCTCCTCGACGCTGGGGACGTTGCGAGGAACGAGGAAAAACGGCTGTTTTCGCAGGCTAAGTTTTTATAGTTTAAGTTTAGTCCGCATATTGCAAGTCCAGTCCAAGGCCCAGTTGTTCTTAGGGTTTCCTCTTCTTTTTTTCAAAAGTATTTTCTAGCATAATTTTCACTGTTCTTCAATAATACAGCATACAATCATCAAATAACAGACAAAAAGAGTTAAATTGTATTTGCTTTTTAAGCTTTCATATCTGAATTTAAATTTCGCACTAACCCTTGTCGGTTATTTAATAATCCAGCTTTGAACAACCCAGCCGAGTCCACTCTGCAAAATGCCGCTGTCATATGGGCATCCCCGCGTTTTGGGCATCCCCATTATATTGGCATCCCCTATAAATCTAACGCTCACCCTAACCTAAATCCCTAGGGTAATATGAGAAGGGTATGCTCATGTCACTGGGGTTTTGGGAATGAAGAAGCCCAAAAAGCCAAATATTACCATTAATATTGGCGTTAATATTAGTCTGTAACACCGTCAGACAAATTTAATAATAAATTATCCTTGAAACATATAATCTCAGCCCACCTGCGATACACTAGTTCCAATTAACATCACAGCAGGATTCACCACAAAAACGTATGAGGGACGGTTTAAAAGCTTTAATGTTGACTTGCCGGTAAGATTTGAAGCTCCTTCGATCACAAAGCATATAATACTTCATGTGGAAAGATTCATTTTCTACGGCAATCGTCTTCTTAAAATTTTAAACCAGGTTTATCAATCACACTGCGAGGACAAAAACTAGATAAAAACCTGTGCTTTGTCGGAAGGATTCTCTTTTAATTTTTTTTTTGCCAAAAATTAGCAAAACGACGCTCCGCTTACATACAAATTAATTAAAGACCCCATAGCAATCAGGTAATGACATAGAATAAATTGTAAGCGGAATTTATCTCCTAAAATTAAAAAAAAAGTGAAAGAAGAATATGTACATCCTAGCACAACAGCCAACCTCTTTTGAAAACGGGAGGGGAGGCCTGGTTGTTCTGCAACGGTTTTAAACCTTAAAACTCTTACAAGAGGCTCGCAAGGTAGACTAGAACTTCTTAAACGGGCAATCCCTTTTCTGGCCGAAGAGGTAGGGTATGTGCCTCTCAAGGAGATATAATTTTCCGAAGATTAATGGGGTGAACAAAGAGAACAGGATTTCTCTATTTAGCGTCTTGAGTAGGGTGTTTTTCTGGACTGGAAGCCTGAAACATGGCGGTGAGCAGTCTAAATGCGTAGTACCGACAATTTTTGCGCCGTGCTTCTGGAAAACCGCGGCGCGAGTTTAGACTAATCACCAGCCTTTTTCTTCATCATCAGGTCAAGACGGAAGTCAAATCTTAAAGGTAAACAAGGCTGGCGCAGATTCTGGTCTGCGCGTCATGTTAAACATAGAACATGATGATTATTTTAGTCTGCACGCAAGACAAGCTGGTCTTAAGGTTCTTATTCATCACCACGAGACCCCGCCCATAGTCGATCAACTTGGTTTTGCAGTGGGACCTGGTGCGAGTACTTTTGCAGCCATCAAGAAAGAAAAGGTAAGGAATAGACCTTTTTAGCTTGAAGATTCTTTAAATCCCAATTCAGACCACGTGATGTTCTCGAAATCATCGCGCAATTGTTTCTGGGATTGTTTTTGGGGATGCCCCGATCAATTATTGGTTAGCGTTAGATAACATCGAGTGAAGCCAGATTGGACACCATTTGAATTTTACACAACGCATTATTTCCGTAATGGAACGAGACTGGAATGTAGAATGAGGCTAGAATAGCTGAAGAAACCAAAACTACAGAGCTCCAGTTATGGAGAGAACACAGTAGAGAGTTAAGCACTGATCTGCAGTTATTAGGGTTAATCACTGAACTGAAAACGGTTAGCTTTCAAATATTGCAGTGGGGTATGGCATATATAAGAACATGTATATTTTAAAAATTACTGGATTTGGCAGCTAGTCCTCGATGGTGTAGTGGATATGGATGTAGGCTATAAAGCAAGTGACCAGGGTTCAAAGCGTTACAGTGGAGTTTTTCTATTTCATATTATATTACACAGTAAAGTTGGACTTAAGTTGTTCTTCATGTAATTTTACTGAAAGAAACAATCTGACTTCAGCCGATGTTACCTAATGCTAACCTTCAATTATTAGCCATCTAGTAACAGTCCCAGATTTCTTTGCAAAAGTTAACTCGTTTCCAGTTCTCTTCTCGTTGGCAAACTAGTTGTGCACTTGGCGAAATCGATTGGAAACGCTTTGAAAATGTCAGCACTTCGGCTACTTATTCCATGGCAGGACATCAAATTAAGGATATGGTTATGGAATGCTACTGGATTGGTGAAATGTGTAGCTTTCGCAATTTTACACCTGTTTTGACCTCTATGGGGCTTTGCCACACGTTTAATTCAGGTCAGTATGTTTGGTTTTGAAAACGCAGGTCGTATTTAAATAATTGTAGTTTACACGTGAATGTAAAGGCAGCATATATTTTAAAGAAAGGAATCTGATACACGAAAAAAGATTGTTATTGTTTCCGAAAATCTAGCTAAGCTTACGTTGCGCCAAAATAACATTTTATCCTCTTAAAGACAAAATTAAAAAAAATTTGTTTTTTCTATTTTAATGAAAACTTATCCAACACAATGTTTTAGAGGAAACAAATATCGCGTTTCCACTCTTTAAATTACCGCGGTTTTTTATACCCACACGATACCACTTGGTGCTTGTATTCACCTTACAGTTGTGCAAATAGTTGTTTTGGTTTGTTCACGTTGTTAAAAAGTTAAAGATAGCACTCCTGTCAGTACCATGGCTTCAGAGGTTCGCTCTATAGGTATCTTGGTTTGAAAGAGCTTTTGAGAAAGGAGTTAAATTTGTTCCTCTTCTCGTTTTTGCTCAGTTAAGAATCCCTTCCCCTCCCTCCCCAAACACCTGCACGATGCTTTGTTGACGGACTCCATATATTCAGCGAGGATGTTAACGAGGGGTGTATAAAGGCGGTTCTTTTTCGAACGGGAGGGGGTGCTTATTTAATATTTTCACCATAAGGTCGATCTTATTTATTTCAAAGAAGAGCGCATATTTGAAAGGGGCCGCTCATTTGAGCGTTACGGTATTAATTTTTACCTAGTTTTATTAGCCTGCAAAAACAGCTGTTTTCCCTCCCTCCTCGACGCTGGGGACGTTGCGAGGAACGAGGAAAAACGGCTGTTTTCGCAGGCTAAGTTTTTATAGTTTAAGTTTAGTCCGCATATTGCAAGTCCAGTCCAAGGCCCAGTTGTTCTTAGGGTTTCCTCTTCTTTTTTTCAAAAGTATTTTCTAGCATAATTTTCACTGTTCTTCAATAATACAGCATACAATCATCAAATAACAGACAAAAAGAGTTAAATTGTATTTGCTTTTTAAGCTTTCATATCTGAATTTAAATTTCGCACTAACCCTTGTCGGTTATTTAATAATCCAGCTTTGAACAACCCAGCCGAGTCCACTCTGCAAAATGCCGCTGTCATATGGGCATCCCCGCGTTTTGGGCATCCCCATTATATTGGCATCCCCTATAAATCTAACGCTCACCCTAACCTAAATCCCTAGGGTAATATGAGAAGGGTATGCTCATGTCACTGGGGTTTTGGGAATGAAGAAGCCCAAAAAGCCAAATATTACCATTAATATTGGCGTTAATATTAGTCTGTAACACCGTCAGACAAATTTAATAATAAATTATCCTTGAAACATATAATCTCAGCCCACCTGCGATACACTAGTTCCAATTAACATCACAGCAGGATTCACCACAAAAACGTATGAGGGACGGTTTAAAAGCTTTAATGTTGACTTGCCGGTAAGATTTGAAGCTCCTTCGATCACAAAGCATATAATACTTCATGTGGAAAGATTCATTTTCTACGGCAATCGTCTTCTTAAAATTTTAAACCAGGTTTATCAATCACACTGCGAGGACAAAAACTAGATAAAAACCTGTGCTTTGTCGGAAGGATTCTCTTTTAATTTTTTTTTTGCCAAAAATTAGCAAAACGACGCTCCGCTTACATACAAATTAATTAAAGACCCCATAGCAATCAGGTAATGACATAGAATAAATTGTAAGCGGAATTTATCTCCTAAAATTAAAAAAAAAGTGAAAGAAGAATATGTACATCCTAGCACAACAGCCAACCTCTTTTGAAAACGGGAGGGGAGGCCTGGTTGTTCTGCAACGGTTTTAAACCTTAAAACTCTTACAAGAGGCTCGCAAGGTAGACTAGAACTTCTTAAACGGGCAATCCCTTTTCTGGCCGAAGAGGTAGGGTATGTGCCTCTCAAGGAGATATAATTTTCCGAAGATTAATGGGGTGAACAAAGAGAACAGGATTTCTCTATTTAGCGTCTTGAGTAGGGTGTTTTTCTGGACTGGAAGCCTGAAACATGGCGGTGAGCAGTCTAAATGCGTAGTACCG